CACTACAACAAAATTAAAATAGAAAAACAAAATATGGGATCTTTAAAATAATACACATTAAGTTTATAGTTAAAGATATAATAGTAATAATTTTACCTATACTAGATATTTACATAGCATTTAGGAATGATTTTAAATTACATAAATGAAATTAATTTATTACATTATTTAATGTTACCTAATAATAATACCTTTATATTCTTAGTTATTTACTATGATCATTAATAATACATATGCTTTCCATTTTCCATTTCTGTAAAGTGAATTCTCTAGTATTTACAACTCTTACAGAGACTTCTATGCGCGCTGCTAAATCGTATGTTCCAGGCGCTGGAAGTACAGCTTGTAATTTTACAGTATTGCTAGTGAGTGGTTCTATATTAGAAAGAATGGCCGAATGACACACATATCTATAAAATGTAGAAGCTTGCGGAGAATACAGTTGCGATTTTATACTTGGAAGATGGGTTCCACTGAAAAAATAAAAGATAATTTTAATATGTACAAGATTTTTGTTTTTACATAATCCTTAATATAATTCAGAAAATTAGTGATATATACCTGCTAGTACCTATTGTATTCACTTTAACATCAATTTGTGACTCCAAATGATTTTGTATGTACATTATAACTGGAACGAAACACAATCGATTTTGATTGAAATTATGTGTAATTTGTCTAGCATGACTCAATTGGAAAGATATAACGTTTTTCAAGAATTCGGTCTCTAAAACTTGTTCTTTGCTGGTCATAGCGAACAAATCGGGTACATTTTTATCCGGTCCAAATATTTTCAAACGTGTTTCATATTCACTGGGTTCAACTTGAACCTCTTTGGGATGTTTATAAGTTTTGTTCAAATATTCAAGATCAAGATGATGCTGACCAATCACTTGTCTTGATTGGATACCATCGATACCATCTTCTACATTTCTTCTACATTCTACATTTGCTTGCCATTTAAGAATCAAAGTAGAATTTAATGTCATGGCAGCTGACAATGATGTTTGTTCTGAATTTTGTGACAACCGTTGAAGTTGTTGCTGTATTTCAAGTGAATTTTCATTCACATCCAATGCTGGAATATGTCTTTTTTGGATAAAACTGATATAAGGATAATTTAAATCTAATGTTGTGTTATCATTTTCTTGAGTTAAAGACACATAAGAAAACACTAACTCATCCTTGCACTTTTTCCTTAATTTTAACATTAAATGGAACATTTCTTGAGGTTTTATTTTAATATCACTTGGCAAGACAGATGAACTGAATACAGACCACGTTTCACTTTGAAATAAAATTTGGGAAAGTATAATTTCATTCATAATGGAATCATGAATTCGATTTGCATTCTTAACGCACACTATCAGGTTCAGAGTAGGTGAAGTATCTTTAAATAATACACTCCTCGAAGCAACCGCGCTGATTTGTATGGAATCTAAAACTGTAAAATGCCACGTGTGTCTACAAAGTCGATGCTTTATCATACTTTTAGAATCAACGTTCTCATAGTAAAAAAGTAAATCTAAACGATGAGTTCCTTTTTCATGTGGAGCTTGTACCCATAATGGTATTGTGCAAGCTTCTCCTACGTCTAATATATTAGAATCAGAAGGTAGAGAAATTTTTGTTACAACTTTGTTATGTTTCTTTGTTGTATGTTCTGTAATAAAAATTAACATACTAACATAAAATTGTCAATTAATTATTTTATAATCCTACATTTAAGAGTTGTGCCAAACATATCAGTTAAATTTACCTTGTATATTTATGTAGTCGTCTTCTAATGATAACAGTTTTGCGTCCGTTGACGCTAAATGTACATTTGTTAATGGTGCATTTCCTACGTTCTTCAATCTAATATCCACTTTTTGAATTTCGCCGCATAATATTTTTGAAGATACATTACTAAAAAAAACCTACAAGTAAATTAAATTTATATAATTGATTATTTTAAACATTGTACATGCAATTGTATTTTAAAGTAATCAAACTACCTGCATACACGGTGACTTTTCAATAACATTCATTTCCAATCTATAATCTGTATCATACAAATTTGCACCAGGTTTTTCTTTAATGTTCTTTAATCTAGGTCCCCTAACTTCAAACAACCTTTTTCCAGAAATAGCTATCGTTGGATTAACAATTGGTAAATCAGTTGTATGTGTTGGATTGGATAAATCATAGCTTAAGCCTAACACTTTTAATTCTCCTACTTGTTTTGGTATAAGATACAATATTATACGTTGTTTACAAGATGGTTGCACCACAATTGTTTCTATTACTTGTGCCTCTGCTGATTTCAAATCCTCCGGCGATTTCATTTCATTTGAAATTTGTTCATCAACAGAAGTGAAAGACCATAATAATGTTATATTAGATAATGGTAACGGTATATGTAACGGATTGTATAATTCAATAAAAAAATGTACTGGCTCATTCAAAACTGCATTCGCTTTCACACTGTTGTTACTTGTTTTAGAATATAATGCAACTAATGGTTTAAATATCATAGGTGGCGTTCCCTGAGCTTCTGTTATTAACATTTCTTCCATTCTTGACCATCTAATATCATCACATTCCTCAGTATCAAATGAAACATGAGTTGCTGGAGAATTATTTTCATAGGGCTTAGCTGCAGGACCATATAATACTTTGATATTATTACTATCTATTAACGGTAAAGGCAAGATAGGAAGCTCGTAACGATTAGATAAACCTTCCTGTAACAGTAACTGTAGTATGTAATGATTAATACAAAATACAGTATATGTAGATTAAGAAACGATTTGTAATTAACAGGAATGGATAAACATACGTTATGGATATGTAAAAATTCGCGTAAAAACGTAGCTTGTTGTGGTGCTGCTTGTTTGCTATAGGCATTAAGTAATTTCTCAAATGCTTTAACAGCCTCACCAACTTGTTTCAATGATGCTGCTTGTCTACCAATAGTGAAATATATATGATCTTCAGCAAGTGACCATCCTCTTCCATCGTACACCTAGCAACAGATATATAAATAGATACAAATTATCTAGTTACTGTATTATTATCATCATTAAGAACTGATTAAAAGTACCTGATACGCTTGTTGGTAACATCGTAACGAATGTTTTCTTTGACCTGCTTTCGAGAATCTGTGACCAGCAAGAACGGCATGAAAGGCATATTTGCGCATCATTTTTGGTCTAATAAAACAATAAGCTGCTTGTTCTAATAACAGTGCTGAACGTAAATCTGATTCTTCGCTAGTCATACGAATCAGCTGTTTCGCAGCCTCTCCATATAGATTTCTGCCTTTTAAACATTCAGCACTGAGAAGCGTTGCTCTTGTTGCAAACTGAGGTTGTTTACAACTGTTTAAGTAAGTCAATATTGCATCATCCATATATTCGATAGTCTTTCTATTAGTTTCACCTTGCATGAACGCACTTAAAGCAGCCATTTCTAGTGCACCTGCATAATAAAGCCAAGCTTGATCTGCTGCAAAATCTCTTTTTGCGCTATGATATGTTTGGTAAGCAAGTGAATAGTGACCGAACATGAAACACAAGTCACCTAAGCGACGCAACTGTAATTCTGGAGATTCTGTCGTATAACTGAAATCCAAACAAGCTGGATCTTTATATATTTATATATGTGTCATTTTATAATTTCTTTCTTATCTACTACTACAATACTTAGGATTATTCAAAAAGATGGTATATAAATATTGATAAACAACATACATTACAGCATTTGATGTAGTGGGTCCTGGTATACCAGGCTTATTTGTTCCAAACCATCGTCTTGTTGCACTAAGCAGTGATCTACTGACACCTTTTTTATTCGATGTTACATCATTTAATAGACTAATTTGCTTTTCTACATATGGTAATAAACTTTTCAAACAGAATTCTGTTATCAATGTTCTTAGCCTTTCAAGATCTTGTGTAGATAATCTAGCACCATGTTCTGTCATAACATAATTAACAGAATCTGCCCAAACATTTGCATTTATTGGTGTATCATTAACAGCTTGTTCTTTTGTATGTACAGCAGAACTTAAATTTTGTGTCTTTTCAATAGTTGGACTTAAAGGATGAATTGTTACAGAAACAGCTTCCTGGCCAACTTCTAAATGCATATTTGCAGACTCGGATACTTCAGAAGAAAAATTAACGGTATTATTTATATCTGGAGAAAACAGTACAGAAGTATGTGAAGCTACTGGCGTACCAGCCTGACTCGTCCTAAAATATAAGATTAAAATATACGTTCTTTAAACAATTAAATAAATATAATAAATAATCATACTTCTCTGTATCTGTAGTAACTTCATTCGGCATTGAAGAAACACCACTGGTATCTGCAGGTGTACGAGGAGAACTACTTTGCTCACTACCACCAGATATATCTGAATGTTTTACTAGAAATTGACTCCAAGGATCTGGCAAATGAGTATTGTCATCAGTTTGACCTGGTGGTCTTGAATTCATTTGTAATAAGAAACAATTGTTAGCACCATAGATATTTTTCATTTCTGTAAAAACTATCTCTGCCCTACAAAAATTGTAATCAATTATTTAAATTGCATAACATTCAACTTACAGAGATTACTGAAATAAAAGAATTACTTATTTCTATCATCCTGTACAGCATCATGTACTAAAATGTAATATCTAAGAGTATTGTTATTAAACCATTTTGGCAATTTCCCAGGTATACTTTGATGTAATTGTGCACCTATACTTTGTATCTTCTCCAAGGGATTATCTTCTGCGGTCGAAACAACAATCATGCAAGCAAGAAAATGCTTTGTAAATTCATGATCCGATGGAAACTGAACACTCAGAAACATTTCTCTCCAGGCTTCAAACCATGGAACCGAGACTGGTATGTCAAGCTCTGCAGTTCCGATTTGAATTAAAATCGTATGTTCACATATCACTGAACTAACTGCTTCGTTCAACATTCTTTTAGCAATGTTTGACTCTGGTGGGTGAGCATTCACATCTTGTATAAAAAGTCGAAGATTCCTAACTGTTACAGTATTTCCTTGTGGATCCTTAAAATGACCTATGAAAATGAAATTGAATACTAACATAAAATACTCGATATTAAAACATAGTCACATATTTTTAAATGAATGAAGAAACTATTAACAAAGATAATGACATTGACAAAGGTAATAAGAAAACTGTCCTACTTAATTTAGATGTACTGATATTGGTGAAAAAGTATTGAAAATTAATCGTAGAATACCTACCTTCTGTGTTTAATTTGCAGAATGGTTGCAGCAGTTCAACAAATGATAAATTATTTTTTTGACAAGTGGCATCAGCCGCGGTTGAACAAACTGCAGCGATTTGCGGAGAAAAAGCATTGCTTATAAATTCCCGAGGGGTTAACTTACACTGAGCCATGATAATTCCAATAAATTATATTCGAGTTACCAAGATTACGTATTACTAAGAAACAGATTTATACAATAATCATTTTCAATGCTACATTACTATTATTTATTATCTCAGCAGTTAAGAGAAACAAAACTTTCAATACATTTCGAAAACGTTATAATAAACATCTCTACCGAACAGCTGTTTTGTAGATATTTACCGTGAAAGGTAAGAATATATAAAGATAACATACATATCACCGTATCAGCCGGAAGTGCTTGTAGGTGGATATAGCTTTACGTATATATTTACTTTTAAATGACATTATTCTAAACGAGAATTATTTTTAACTATTTGCAATCACTACTTCAATTTTTGTTAAGGCAAGGAGAAGCAATTTTTTACTTCTGCAGTAGTTGGCAGTTTATACACAGGTACATATGTATAATGTTCATCATAGCAGAATGTAACACAACTTAATTATAGGGATATTTAGATCAGGGATTTATTATTTAAAGAAATTAAATACAGCTGTATCTAATACTCTATATGTATGTACAGAAGAACTTATGAGAATTGTTCGTCGATTATGTTATAGCCCTCTAGTGGAATGTTTAACAAACATAATTTTTAAATTGCACTACCAATTGGTATTAATACAGGATTCCATGCGTATATATTTGCGTTATAAAAAAGTTTCTCAATTAAAAAAATTTTAATTTATATAGTTGACGTGATCAGTTTTCACATTTTGACAGCTTTGAAAAGACACATTTTATGCTCATCACAGAATACGCAGTATCTACGTATGTATCTACTAGTCCATTGTATCCACACAAGATACCAGAAGCAATGGTTTGGCGTTTTTCGACAACTAATTTCTAATGTGCATGAGTCCGTAAATTTATTTATAGTTTATAATGACATCGGACATACAAATGATATGTATGGATATATCCCGGATATTGATAGGCGGGTAGTGAAGCCAAATAAAAAAGACATCGGCAATATCTTTTGATGCCATACAAATTTTGTCATACAAATATACCTTTATGAATAAAAGCGTGCACTCGGAAATTAATGTATCTTACCACTGTCATCATTGTTATTGCTTCTGAGATTCGGAAATTCGCCTGTTGATGTCACGATCAGATAAGATTCTACTAAATTCGCGGCAAGAGTACAAACGCTTTAAAATAGATTTCCGAGTGCTTAATTCTTGACATTCCCGTCTTCGATTTAGCATTACAGTACATTCTCCCTAGAAGTCCTGGAGCTCGGATTTGAAAACGGTATTGTAGTTCTCACAAAACAATTTAGCGTAGAATATAATTTTTCACTTATCTAAATGTATATATAATTGTTACAACACTTGTGGTATATTAGAAATATACTATACAGTTATTATTTATGTGTATAGCAAAGTATTTTTCTTATATAGTCTTAGCGATAATGCAATAAAGTGAATTGCATAATAAATATTAAATAAACAATGTAATCCAAATTATATCGTGTTTGATTTTATTTTAATCAGAAATATTTGTCGAAATTATATCATGTATTGTCTCATTTTAATCAGATTTTTAACTATCAGCAAATATGTTAAAAAAGTTCAGTTTCAAAATGTTAAAATTAAAAAAGTTATGTCATTGTATTATGAGTTCTCTTTCAAGAATTCGAGTCAAAGGAGCTGCGTGCTGCATCACACGTTTGACCGACTGACGTAGCAATAAGTCACATGAACATATGACTAGCACAGTAAAATTCAGAGCAACCCGTAACTAGGACTTTTAGGGAGAATTTACTGTATGTACTGGAATAGCCGGATAACCTACGCATTGGCGCCAAATTATCAAAAGTTCATCTCTCCACCACAAACGGCGTTGAAATAGGAAATCTTTAAATTTTACATCAAAGGTTATAGAGAGCCAGAGCTCCAACATCCTATCGCTTTACGACTTTCTTCCAGGAAAGTAGAAATGGGAGAATTGCCCATCACAAATGGGATTGGATGATGCCAATGGATTTCTATTGGCAATCCATTGGAATCGTCCAATCCTATTTGTGAGGTCTTCTCTCCGCAACTTGGAGCAGATTTCAAGTAGAATTCCTAACATCATTGGACACAATGGTCTTGTGTAGAAATTCCAAGAACGATTTTAAGTCATAAACATCAAAAGTTCTAACAGGAGTTTCGCTTCTAGTATTCTGTGTGCATTAGATGGATTACACGAGACTTTTCTACACTTTCTAAATCGGAGTTTACGATCTCTGTATGCATGTGTACATACAGGATTACTATATATAGTATATATATATATATATATATACATATGTACATATACACACAATTACACACTATAGCTCTATAGTTCGGATGGAATGAGATCGCGCAATCGTTGACAGCTTTTTCGTAAGCGTATCAATCTCTTCTGTCATGTAAAGTTCTGCTCTACAATTACGCAAATAGTTCACAACGTTTATTTGTTATAACTGGTAAATGGGTTTGCTCATCCTTTCTTAAATAAACTACTAACTTTCATATTGTCAATTCACTCTTACATTCGAAATTGATATGCAACAACTTGCTTTTAAAGTCAGTTAATAACATATTTCTTTAAAGATAAACAAAAAATTTTTTTTATGTTACATTTCATGAATATTTTAGAGTATTAAAAGAAAGTATTTGTCCAGAACAAAATATTAATATTATCATTTAGTTAACGCCCGCGATAAACTCCCTTTTATATCTTATTAAAAATTCATTCTTCA